AGCAAATAAGTCACCTGACTGCTGGCAGAGGTAAGACCATGCTCCCCCAACTCAACATGAAAGATTCCAGATTTTTAAATACGCTGATATCCATCTAGCTCATATGATCTCGGTGGAATGGTATAGAGGGGTATCATGTTGTGAGGAGACTAGGTGGTGGGCGATTTGAATCTTTGTTGACAAAAGGGTGATATTCTCTTGATAGCATGTCCATGATCGTAGTACTTCTCCATTCATATTCCTTGCGCACCAAATACTTTGCAGCTAGAAGGACACATGCAGAGATGAGCTGCTGCCTGCTCTGATCACATAGCTGACTTACCTGCCCCCCCTTCGCGGCAAAACTCTTTCCTCTACCATCCACGTCAACAACAAATCGTGACCACAAGCACTCGGCAGCGCGCCCCTTTTAGGACATCTTAAAAAGCCATATCAAGCGTTTGTGATACGATAATCACAATGGAGATGTTAGATTTTAACGGCCCGCGACTAGCGGTGCCTTTGGCGTTGGTGAAGCTATCCCGTGCGGAGGTCTCTCGTAGAGAGGGCATCCGCAAGCTACTGATGGAGAAGGACTCCACCTGGAAGTTCGAGCTGGCAGAGCCAGAAGACGCCCGTGAGATGCAAGGTTGGCTGAGAGCTGCCTTGAAAGAGACTTTGGAAAAGTTGCGTGAGCAGACGACTGTCAGCCCCAATACATCTGCCGAGGCTCTCAACTGGGCGCTGGACAAGCACATCTGGACAAAGCATTGCAAGTGTAAGTACCCGTTTCCGCCATATCATACCGACGCACTGCTAATCCCGTCCTCAATGCAGTCAGCAACGAGGCCTACCCTTGGGAGGACCTCAAGCCGAGAAATTACGTCTCGAACATCGTTGCGCTGGAATGGCAGCAGTACCTCCTGGACATTCAGGATCATATTCTCGTCGGAGAGGAGGACAGACCGTACCAGCACGACCCAAGCGACCTGGACCAGTACCCCTCCATGTCCGCTCCCATAAGACCCAGTCCCAAAGGAAAGGGGGTCCAAAACCCCAACTGGAGAGCCCCTTTCCACCGAGGCAAGACCAGCCGCTCAACTACGGCCGTCGGGGGACCAGGCCTAGCTTCCAGCGCCAATGCCAAAGCCAAAAGCAAGGGAAAAGCTAAGGCAAGCGGCTCAACACCACCAGCTCAGGGATCGGCTCCCGCTGGCCAACCCAGTGGTTCAACTGCGGTTTCAAAGGAGCCATATGCTGTTGCCATGAGCAACGCACCACCGTCTTGGGCCTCTGTGGGTGGGAATAGATCTCTTGCCACCAAGCGCGTTGGCGCGTTCTCTCAAGCTGTGGATTGGGCCGAAGAGGCCCAAAAGGCCTCGGATATCCACGATGCCAAGCGCCGGAAGCAGCTAGCAAAACAGGAGCAGGACCTGCGAGCGTGTGGGATTACTCATGATGCCTTGCAAGGCAATATCACCGATAACTGGAGACCGAGACAGTTGGGCGAGAACGGGCAGCGAACTGCTGTCCAAGCAGCCCCTGCTGCCATGTCATATGCCAACGTGCTAAACACAGCCGCTCACCGGCCGGCTATAGCATCCGCTGCTGTTTCAAAGAAGCCAGCAATTCTATCACCACGACAGCCGATCCTTACGGAGCCAACGGATCAAGGTGCATCCGGCAGCGCCACGGACAATGCAGAGGTCCCAGACATCATAGTCCCAGACATCATAGCACCAATGCCCGAGATTACGGTCACACCAACTGCAGAAGTTGAAGCAGGCACTGCCGAGTCAGGCTCCGAGAGCGCTAGCTGCCCACCTCCTGCGGTAAAGTATCAAATGCCGTCGGTCGATCCTACAAATTTCGCACCTTTGCTCCCGCGACCTATCATCGCTCCACTACCAAGCATCATCGAGGATAAGGAAGCAGGTGCACCCCAAACGGGCACTCCCGCAGCCGAAGAAGACGATGATGAGTACGAGACTCTGTACGCTTCCCCTCTTGCAGTTCGCCAGGAAATTTGGCAAGAGTACTGCCCAATTGGGGTAGCCCAAGGCTGCGATGTCTTTGAGGTCCCGCTGACCCATTACGAGGCCGATGTGCTAGCTACAGAGGAAGCAGTGTATGATGCCCATTGGTACTTTGTACATGACTGCGTCACAATCTGGCTCCTTGAAATGACTCATCTTAACGGTGATTCAGGCTGGAAGCTCCATGTCGACTTCACAAGGGAAGCTGATACCGAGTTGGGCTATGTTCGTCGAGAACTGGCCAACGTATGGCGCATGGTTTTGGAATGGCTAGGCGCTGTCCGAGAGGACAATTATCCCCAGCGCATCGATCAGTACTTTAAAAGGCTGATCAGGAGACAGGAACACAGGCTGAGGTACTCGCTCTCTTGTAACGCCATCCATCTTGGCTACTACAACTACAATGCCCCAAGGCTTACTGGCTAAGGTGGCCAAGCACATGGATTCCTGCTGGGCTCACTTAATAGTTCACGCCCTCAACCATCTTCCTCCTCGCAAATGTGTATGTCACAGCGCGTGGTGATCTCCTCGTCGGTCTAAATTCTTCCTCACCAGTGGTTTGAGAAGCCATGATGGTAGACTCAACCGTCGGCAAGCTGGCGATCACACATTGAAATGAAGTAGAAACAATAGAAAAGATTTTTTGACATCAAACTTCCCACTGCGACAGTGCTTGCCCATTTCCTTCATTTGTAGAGCCTTATTCCCAGGAAAGTACAAATGTTCTGATCCCATGCTCGTCCGTGATACCGTATTCCTAGTTCTTCCAGACGTGATTCAAGTTGTGGCTCAGGCACTCGACGCTCGACGATTTGACGTATGCAAAATTGATTGACCTGTAGCTATTGCAAGCGTTAGAATGTGGCTATGCTACTTGTGGAAGATACGTACCGTTGTCAGAGCAGCTCTACTTAGTGAAATTTCCTCAACAGGTCCTATTCAAGGAGCTTAGCAGCTGTTAAAATGGGCGGCTGAGTGCTTACCAGCTGTGAACGTGATGCGGATGACGAACTAGGAACTATTGCGAATGTGAGGCTGTTGAGAGCAATGGGTTGAGTCATGGCGGTGATGGATATTGACTGAATAACACAAAAGAATTTCTCCGAGACTAGGAGGGAAAAGGTTCGTCTCGACTGGAGGCAGACTTAGCAGACGCTGAGCGGCTTGAGTGTTTACTGACCACAAACAACAAACAGCCATAAACCTCCACTCACTCAACCCCACACATTCTTCATACACAAGGCATTCTGAAATTTCCCCGTCATTCCGAGTAATACCATCTCATCTATCAAAAATGGCTGGCTCTTTTGACACTACTCTGGAGGCTTTTGAGGGATGGGTCAGCGAGTCGGGAATCGGTTTGGCTACGGTCGAGGAGGATTTCGTCGCTGGCAAGAGTACCATTCTGGTCAAGCGAACCTAGGATGTCATCCAAAAGCGCAAAGAAGACACCAAGCTGGGGTACCTTATGAACACCAGGCTTGAGAAAGAGCTGCGCGCTAGATATCTGGTATCCGACAAATTTTCTGGCGGAGCACTCGCTGGTTTGGTCGAGGAAGGCCAGCTGTCGGCGGAGACCAAGATCAGCCTCATGACATACACCGAGTTCAAGCATCTCGTCGGAAGTGGGGTTTCAGTTCAATTACCACACAACATGGTAGTACTGATGGACGATGAGAGCAAGCGGACCATCGATAGAGAGGTTGCTCAGGGCCTGATCTCTACATTCGTCAAGGACAAGCAGCCCGCCAGTGTCAAGATGATCGCATTCGCCCCAGCTCTTCGAACCCCGCCGCCGCAGAATGTTCTCAAGTCGTTTAGCATTCGTGACCCGGATGACATTCACACGTTTACCTCCAATTATGCGACGTCCCCTCGCACGAGCGACGTAATCACCGGTTCATTCACGGACGGCGCCTTCTACCAACAGTCTATTCAGATGGCTACACAGTGCATTTGAGACGGTAAGCCAGTTGTCATGTATGCCGACGAGGATGTAGCCATCTCGTTCTTCTCGGCAATTAGACGACAAGTCGACAACATGTACATCCGCCACGTTCCACTAAGCCGCAAGAGCACACTCGCCAACGAAGCAGAGGCGGACCTATTCAGCATGGATTCAGCAGTGACTGGGATGCCGGGGTCATTTGTTTCAATCAACTCACATGACTTCGCAGGCCTTCTGCCGTTCTCCAAGCTTGGGCTGGTCATTTCCACCACTGTTCGAAATGATGCAGTGCAAGACGTAGCTACCGGCCTTGTCATGACACGAGAGCGAAATGTCGCACTGTCAGAACTCCTTCGCGAACACGCCCAAGCAAAGTACAAAGACAATCAAGACATTCAGCCAGGCTTCCTGACTACATATGACTGTTCGATCATTGATTTCGGCGAACCGTCAGCCAAGGACCATCCACAGCCCGCTTCAATGGGCCGAGATCTACTACAGTTCATATTCGAACTTGTTCACCAGTGGCCAGGCATACCTATCGGTGAGATGCCGGTCTCGGTGCCTGATGACAAGTCCGCGCGCTATCGGGTAGATCATGCTTTTGTGCTTTTGACATTGATGAAGTTGATCAAGCGGCATCATCTCGGATACGGGCTGACGCAGCGTGGGCAACGCCTTACTGTCCTGATGAAGGAGCATAGCAGCGATGAATTGACGGCGTTCAGTTCCTTCTGTCTCCTTGCCAGTATCGATACGACAATGGATCCGAGAATCAAGAGGATCCTAACTCGCCTGGCTGTGATAGCAAGCTTCTTCCAGAAGCTCGTCAGCATAGATCTGCTCGAGTCGGAGTTCCCATCGGTCATGGAGATAGAGAGGATCGGCAATGGACTATGCTGGGGCCCAGCTGCAGAGCTCGTGGGACAGGGTGCTCTCTGGCTCGCCCTGGCTACTTGGGAGGGCCTCCGCATTCGAACGAGGAACTTTCAGTCATCAGAAGGGGATCTCTATCTGCCAATCGACAAAGACAGCTTTGTGCACCACGGTGCAGCAACGGCAGCCTTCAAGTTGATTACGGAGCTGGAAGGAGGCATGGGTTTGTCTACATTCTTCGCAGACGAGACCTACGTGAAGGCGCTTGAGATCGAGGAGCTTGAAACAATTCAAGGCGAAATGATGCTTGCATGGCTGCCCAGCCTCATTCACGTCCCTCTGGACGGTAAACCCTCTGCATTCCAGTCCTTGCTTCCCGTGAAATTCCCAGAGAGGAACCACTTTCCGTTGAACGATATCGCGGAGATTTTCCTGCAGAAACGTCCCGGTCAGCTATTGGGAGCCTACCTAGGTGTGCCACTTCGCTTCGTCGGTGGCCTAGACGGAGACATTGTCGCGCACGAAGTCACTCTGCTTCCTAAGACATTACTGCAGCAGATCGAGGCACAAACAGGATTGGATGCAACCGACGCTCTATTTTCTGACCTGGGCTGTTAGCGGACTGCTCTCGAGCTGAAGTCTACATTGCTGATGGAATGGTAAGGATGGAGTGCAATTAGGCACATTTCGGATGATAGTTCTGCAGTGAATACAATTATGAAGCACGGATAAAGATGAATCGTATGCCTTGAAGTGATGCTTGCTATGAATGTATGCATCTAATGTGACAAATAAATCCGATTGACGACTGAATCAAGGTCTAGATGTGATTTTGCTGTGTGAGGTGTTGAAATGCGACCCTACGAGTTCTGCCATGCCATCCTGGATCCCTTTTCAATTAGCTGACATATCATGGTACTCATGTCTTTGTGGTATTAAATTCGACATGCTCTCAAAGAAGGCCACTCGCCTAACATCCCTTCACTTCGCAACGCCGCAATCCCAAACAGCCGTCAAAGCAGCTCTAGATTCATCAACCTTCAGTCAACCTCCACCTCAAGATACGTCTCCAATCCGCACACCTTGTAATAACACAGTAAGTATTCATTGCTAGATCTTGGTTGCAAGTCTCTAACATCCCGATTCTAACACAGGCATTTGTCCAACCGTGCGAACCCGTTGCCGCCCACCAACCGACCCCGTCCTTGTCTACTTGCGGCCGTTTTGCAAATGACATACGAAGTAACCAAAGAAGTTGTGCTGCTATGTTGGAGGTTAAATAACCTCAGCGGTTTATTCAGTAGATTCTTGAAACCACATTGTCGAACCATAGATCGATTACATCTATCAGTTTCGACTGGATGATCAACATTCAGCGCCATGCGAAAAGCGAGCTACTTTACTTCTCGCCTGATTGTACTACTGTTCAAGAGAATGACTGTCATCGGAAAAAGAAGAGGATGCTGTCCAGTGTGATGGTATACATTTCGACAATGCACGCGCTGCGAAATCACACTACTTTTGACAATTGCCGCCAACCACATTCCGTCCTGAATCGAGGCAATCAACCCTTGAAGTGAAGACTTCCGGGCAGAGATATTGGAACACTTTTGCCGCTGCTGGACAAATCTCCAGTGCGGACCTGTCTTGAGAAGAAATGTAAAGTCATGTCCTTGATCGATATCACATTAAACCCCTACAGCGCTCGCTACCCAAGTTTGAGGAATTATTATGTCACAAAGATGAAGCATATCAAACTACCTTTCAAAACAGTATATATTTTTGAACTATCTACTAGACGTTGTCATTCCACCAAGAGGATTGCTCCTCTGTCAGATTGAACGCCTTGTACTGTTCATCTGGTCCTCGGATCTCGATGCGGCCAAATTGTCCAGAGACACAGAGGTCTTTGGATATGGCACGGATGGTTCGGCGACCTAAGTCGACTGCAAGAACCAGATCCAACTCAACATCGGTAAGGATTCCGAGGCCATGGCTCGCCAGGACAATGCCGCGCTGACGGCAAGCCTCGTCTACAGCATGGTGGTTTGCCAGAGCAGTGAACAGATGCTTGATGACCGATGGGCTGCTGGTCATCAGTCTTTCCAGGGCATCAATACATTGATCCCCTGAGATAGTCTGACCCGCACGTGCTTGGACCAGTTTCACCACTTGCCATAATGCAAGAACTGCGATCGACGACAGTTGGTCCAGGCCAAATCGCCAGTCGCAGCGGGCGGTCTGATGGATAACAAATTCAATAGCATCACGCTTGACGCTACTGACCATCTGAAGCTGCTGCATCAAAGCAGAGGCGACCTGTATAATCTCGTTACAGTGAAGCTCATCACTATTGACGAGACCAAACAACATCACCCCCAGGCGGCTAACATCACCACGAGGTGCTTCCATCCTATCGGAGGCAGACATCCACGCGGGTAGGACTATCCAAACCTGGTCCACTGGGATCGAGGTAGTCATTGGCTGTGCCTCAGGTGAGTGAATGATGTTCAAGAACCCAGCCCAGGTCCTCGTATCGCAACTCGTCCACCACTGGTCATTGGTGTCAGACACTGGGTGTGCAAGCAACGAGCAAGCGCGCTTTAGGTCTTGTTCAAGACCATCAGCCTCCGCTTTCTTTCCCAGCAATTCAGTGTGAAGATCGCTGTTATTCTTTTCGAGCTCATGCTTAGCGGCGACCATTCTGCTCAATCCTGGGCAGCATCGGCCAGTTCATGTAGCGCTGTTTCCTTGGCCTGCTTCTCGTGATGAGAGCTAGCTTCAGCAGCCTCCTTGGCCTTCTTCTCAATAACCAGGCTAGTTTCGGCGGCTTTCTTGGCTGTCGTCCCTGCGACGACATCAGCCTCCGTCGCCCTCTTGCCTTCTCGCAAACTCTGAATCTCCGTGTTCAGGTTCCTTACTGTTGCCTGATGGTCAGCTTGAGTGTGTTGCGAGTCAGTCTTGAGCTTCGCGATTTGTCCTTCGAGTCCATCAGCTACTTGGCTTTTCTCATTGAACTGGGTTTCCAGCTGCTGAGTGCGGACTTTCATCTGCGCGACCTCTGCTTCTCTCGACTCAAGAACCCGTGTCTTCTGGGCGACAAGGTCGTGAAGCTCGTTAAGCGCTTCATCTTTCTGCTCAATCTCGCTACCCTTGGTGACGAAGTCAGATTCAAGCTCCTCCAGCTTCTGCTTCTGCTTCACAATATTTTCGTTCCTGCCATTAAGTTGGACTCGCAGCTCGTTGAGCTCCTTGTTCTTCTGGGCAATCTCCGCATCTTGAATGGCGCGAGCAGAAGCAAGCTCCCCATCTTTACCTTTTGCTCCCCAACCTCATTATTCTTGACACCGAGTTGAGATCGTAGCTCCTTGAGCTCATCGTCTGTCTTCCGCAGCTCATCGGCCTTGGCGTCAAATCTAGACTGAAGCTCATCCAACTTCTTCTTGCTGTCAACCAGTTGCACGTTGAACTCGGCAGCTTTCGCTTCCGCATTTTCGGTGTTACGTTGGAGTTGCTCAGTCAAGTTCTGAACAGAAGTATTCAGGGAGTCAACGTTGCTCGATTGTTCGGCAAGCAGTTGGTCCTTGTGGACAATCCTGACATTCAAATTCTGAATCTCAGTGTCATTGCCACTTAGCACAGCTTCCTTTTCAGCCAACTCCTCCTTCGTTTCCTTAAAGCTCGGTGGCCTTGTTGTCCAGGCTCCCTTCAAAATCTGTGAGTCGTTGACGCAAAGATTCAGCAAGGGTTTTGGAGCTTTTGATGAGCTGCTCCTTTCTCGTCAGCGTCTCTTGAAGCTGGCCGATCTCTCGATTGTAATCTGCCTGGGCGGTTTCTAATTCGCGGACGCGCTTAGTCAGGCGATTAACCTGATCCTGGTCCTTCTCCAACGCAGTGACTTGCTGCTGTAGTGCACGAATCTCACCCTCTTTGCCGGAGAGTTCATCTCCAAGTTCCTGTAGCTGCTTGTTCTTGTCGCTTGATGACGCTAGAGAGCGGTTGAGTCGCGAGATATCATCGCGGTAAGTGTTGAGCTGCAGTTGCTGCTTCATGTAGCCCTGTTGCTTTGCCGCGAGATCTTCCTTCAGATTTTGAATTTCAGTGGAAAGTAGTTGTGCATAACACTTCTCCTGAAACATCTCTTCTCGGTGATGTTCTTCGAGCTCCTTGCTAGTCTTCTCACAAGACTCGAGCTCCATCTTGGCTATGGTATGGTAGGACCTGGCCAACGTCCGCTCTCTCCGGAGATTTTCGATCATTTCGGCCGTCTCCTCGATAGTCTTTTGTAGAAGCCAACCATACTTCTCCTGACGAAGGTCGTTCTCTCTTGTCTGAGTAGCGCCATGAGTTTCGACTTGTTTCTCGGCCGACACCAGTTGCGACCCGGCCGTTGCCGTGTCAGTCAACTTGGAAGCAGCTTCTTCCCCAAGATTCCTAAAGAAATCCAGGCCGCCGCCGTTGGCAAGAAAGATCCGAGCCACAGTGCCGAACACTTCGGCTGGAATGGCGGCATCTCGAAGCTCTTCATCCGAGGAGTCCTTGATACACGCGAGAAACTCGTCTCTTTCCTTCTGGGCTTCCTCCGAGAAATCCTTCATTTGTGCTTTCAGAGCCTCGATCTCCTTCTCAACTTCAACCGATTTGGCCACGAGCTTAGACGCGTTGACCCGATCGCTTTCCATCTCCTCATCCTCTTGAGAGGTTGGATAGCGTCCTGTATGTTCCGGGTCGAGGTGGAGTGTTAACTCGCGTGCTTCGCTTTTGAGGCGTCGGAGCCTATCGTAGGTATCGTCGATTTTCCCGAGGACCTCGTTGATCTGGGCCTTGGGATCGTTGCCGCTCACATACTTCTTCATCGCACCAGGTGCCGCCATTTTCAATGATTTCTAGTCACAAAACTTGGCTCGATGTGGTCGTATTGCGACTGCTTTATTGTGATTGCAGATGCTTGTGGATGTGGCAAGTACCCAAGATAGGCTAGGAAGTCCGCGACAGGTCGGTTGCGTTCATGGCAGTCACGTGCACCCCGGACAGTCACCAAGAGATTACATATCTCACCCAAAGGTCCCGCATGCTCATGCCCCGCAGTGCCTATGACTTCCATTATATCAATGACAAGTAATATTGATTTATCTTGCATATCTATCCTATCATTAGCGTGACATATTACGTTGAATTTCAAACTTATACCTTCATCATCCTTACATTCAAATATAAGGTTACTAATAGACGTTGCCGGATATACATGATCAAGACAAGTATTATGAATCCATCATCTAAATCTCACTAAAGAGTACGTTGTGAGTGTATCATAAAAGACGTACCAAAAATTACTTTGTGGATATATTATCCAAATCTTACTAAAAAGTGTGTTGTGAGTATGTCATAGAAAATGCACCAAAACAAGTATTGTGAGTATATCATCCAAATCTCATCAAAGAGTACTTTGTAGGTATATCGTAGAAAACGTACCAAAAAGTGCTTTGTGGGTTCATCATGTTCCGTATTTAGAGTCTAGCGTAATACAGCGAAAGGTCTAAAGGTAAGCAGAATGCATACTGTCATTGGTTCTTGGAAGCAGATGACACATCTTCCATGAGGGAACGTGAGCCTACAGGACGAGGAAGAACGCCTTAGACACTACAAGAGGTTTCAAGACTTGGTTCTCTTTGGTAATAGCCAAAGTCTGCGAGATCAAGCGAACTTGTGGAGAACCCTGGTATGGACCAAAACATAATGGATTAGAAGTCACATTTCCAGCGCCCGAGGTCTTTCCCGACAGGTCTCAGACATTCATTTGAAAACAGCCTCCACCTAAAGACTTCATGCCAGATGTTCCTATATCAGGAAGACGTCAAATGTTTTGTCTCCATTATTCTACTACCTTAGCTCGGACCAATGGAGATAGATGCTTCATCAAAACAGAGTGCGGGCGTATGGGGCTCGGGCCATATAGGTTGAAGATGTCACTGTGATATTACTTGGCGGTCCTACTTGTTTTGCACTCCAAAAGGACGATTCATCTAGCAAATTGATTGGCGATGCATATTTGCATAGAATTATGACGGGTGAGTTTGTTCAGGGTCAAGGAGAGGACAAGTATGAGGATTTCATCGTGATATAAACTACATTTCGCTACAGGTCGAGGCTCGTAACCACGGCGATGATAGATCAGCTCACGGTTCATTGCTACGGGACTAGTACGTAGGTAGTCATCAAGTTGTCCTATTACGAGGGTGTGCAAGTATTAGATATTAGCAATGTCGTCTTTACTGTTCAATCAAAAGAAAATGTTATTATGTCTCACTTGGTATCCTACTGTGTTAAAGGCAAATAGCTATCTGAGCCTGAACCAATCAAATAGATCTAAGCTATATTTATACTCAACTACCTTAAGAATCAATTCCTTACGATCACTAGCGATGCCTACCCTTCACATCATCAACCAAGGATTTATCTTCACTAGTATAACTAATTGCTAGCATTGCACATGTTGGCACCTCTAAAATCTTGTCCCCTCATTCGATATCCTGTCAAGTCAATTGACTTGACGAGTAGCATGAACATCTACTTCTGCATTGAGAGGGGCTATGAAGGGTAGAAGAAATTGTCTAGGATTTGACAGCCATGAGACACTAAATGGTCAAACTGTTCTGTTCTCAAGACGTCTCTAATATCCTGGTGTGACGTTTGCTACTGTCACCGTGACCCACTGGGTTGTTTGTGCTTCCAACTCTATGCTAGATTGTCTCTATGTACATTTGGACCGATTGACGTATTGGCTACTTGGTGGTCCGAGATAACTTTCGCTGGCTCCACCAAGGTCAACGATCAACTTTTCCAACAAGAGATTGGTGTGCAAGAGTCGAATTCGCAGGGTATGTCTTCCTGCTCTGAGGAAGGAGTCTGATGTTGCGTGTTTTCTCACCCATACGCAATCTTGGACAGCCTGCAACCAACCAGAAGGCAATCCTCCCTTGCGCTCCTCGTTAACGATCAATCTATGCGTCTGGGGGAGCTCTTCGTCAATCTGCAACTCATATGTCATTGGAGTTGTAGGATCAAAGTCTAGCGTCATGTTGAAATACAGTACCAGAGCAGCCGAGGCGTCAGATGTGAATGTATGCACCTCATACTCTAGGTAAGATGGAGGAAATATGGTAATATCGGCAAGAGCGACAAGGCCAAACTCCGATCTTCCTGCATCTGGAAGAACGTAGTATGCATCTTCAATGGACGTCAAAGAAGCGGGCATGGATACATAACCATCGGCTTCAATGAATCCATGCTGGGACGAGTCCGGGATTGTCCTACCGTTTACAGGTAAGTGAATTTGCTCAAAGTCCCCTTCTTCAGATCGAATGTCGATCAGAATCTCTTCATGGAAGTCAACAGGCACTTTCTCCCAGTCAATACTTATCTCGATTCGACTGTCATATTCATCGGGCTCAAGAAACCCTGATGTATGGGAGAGATGAATCCAACCATATGGTACACTTGCCTTCCAGTGAATCGTGTACGTGCCCCTTGTGAATATATCGACCCAGCGGGCTAATGGCCCATATCGGCTCATTTGACCTAGGGTAACTCCCGGAGTGAGGTCACGTCGACTAGGATGGGTTCTGTCCGATTCTTCATTAGTGAGTCCTGGTCGTACGCCCATATGACCTTCAACGGCAACGCCCATCTGTCCCACGATCGGGTTCGAGCTCTGGCGCCTTTGAACATAGCACAATCCACTGATCATATCTCTTGAAGGAGCATGCCATGTCTCTTCGTATCCGTAGTGCGTTTGCCTCATGATCTGGTTCCATTTTCCATCCAATAATTGATGAAACTCTTCGGAGAGGCTGTAGTCTTCGTCGAACAAGCGAAGTACCTCCAAGGCTAGTTTGTTCGTAGAGTTACGCCGTTGCCTTGCAAATATTTGGTTTTTTCCAAGCATGATTTGCAAAGTGGTGAAAATATAGCTTGCCTTGATTGGGTGAAGAACAAGCTCAAACCCAGCGGGTTGCAAGTCTTTGGAAATCCGGTCGTAGATTGCTTTCGCGTTCACCAAAAGAGATTTCCATCGCTCCAATATGATTTCTGCTTCATTGTAGTGCAATAGAGAGAATGTGCTTGGCTCAATATGCTCATGTCGACGCAGCGATACTAGTCTGTCGTATTCGTGCCACGCAGCCCCGACATTTTGGCTCAGACCAGATCCGAATTCACGCAAAGCCATGGCCGAAAAGAAATCCGTGAGCCCGTCAGAGCTGATGGATTCGACATCCCAGGCCATGGTCATAGCGAATGTGATTGGTATCTCCATGGGCTTGATGTCACCCACGTTGAAGACCCAAACTTGTCTTGCATGTCTACGATATGCTTCCCGCAACTGGTGCCACACTTTACCCTAGTTCAAGAGTCAGCAATCTTAGAGTCGTGGCGCGACTCGTGAAGCGACTCAGTACTTGCCAATGAGTTACTGTTGATCCACTTATAACTTCTTGGTACACCGACATACTCAAAATGATAGTATATCTGCAAAATGTTAGGAACTCGTCATATGTAAGCAAGCTTGATACTCGTCGCATACTCCAGCTCCACCCTTCCTGTCTTTCTCATTACCACATGGAAGCCTCCGGATTGTGCCGAAATTGTCATCTGCAAAAAGTAGTGTAACGTCATCCGGGACTTCTAGCTTGCCGCTTTCATACTGTTCTTGGACCTCCTTATACAAGGCAAGAAGTTCTGGACATACAGCTTTAGAAAGTGCGCCCGTTGCCAAGGAAGTCTGGGGGCTACTTACGGGGTACTGCATCTTCCTTTCCATGCACCTTTCTGAAGATATGGCGTTGTGTTTGTATCACGTCGTGAACCACGGCTGCTGGATCATCAGCCGCCATTTTTCGATCATATTCACCCCGCATCCCAAGTGTGAAGTACGATTCGCAGTCCTTTGCACGCTGCACACCCTCTTCAAAGAACTTGATGATTTTGCTCTTGTTTTTTATCCAGTTCCAGCTTCCATCAGGGTTATCGGCGAACCATTCATTGGATAAACGCTGCATAGGCTCATGATGGGATGTTGACACGCATATCCCATACTCTTCTGCGGTTATCTGATTTAAGGGATCGTCAACAAAGAATGAGGCTCCCGGGTTCGGATAGCCGGGCCACATAGCCGGCCAGAGAAAGTTTGCCTATTTATCTCTTTAGACTCTGCTTTCAGTCTTTCGATGGTTGAATCTTCGCCTACCTTAAGCCGCAGCAATAAGTCGAATACCTTTTTATAGAATTCAACCCCATATTTGCCAAATTTGTCTCGGACCCAACCTGTGAGTGCCGGTGCCTCGTCGTTGATGAATATACCGCGATATCGAATACTAGGCTCCCCATGAATCGTGTGGATCGGAAGCGCAAAGATTTTCATTTGATGTCTTGGACGTACATCAGCCCAGTAGTACCATCTGTCTATAGTCAATAACAAGAGATCACAAGCTCAGCTTGGGTACATACGGCGAGACACCTATCTGCTCAGAAAGCGTATACACTCCAAATATTGCACCTCTCTTATCGCTGCCTGCTATGACTAATGCTTGCGAGCACCCGTCGAAAGGGTTGCTCACTAATGTCGTACTGAACGACTCCCATTTGCCCCTAACTGCCCGGAAGTCGATCTTCTTTTCTTTCTCAAGTCTGGCAAGGAGTGGACTAGTTTCGACACAACCGATGACAATTGTAATGTCGGTAGATGAAGCATGTTTACCCGCAGCTAGCTCAATAGATTTCGCCTCCCCCCTAGTAGCACTTGCGAAATCATCAGCAAGGTTGGAGGCGGCGATGCGGACGCCAGGATAGTCCGCCTTATCCACCACAATTGACGCGCCGATAAGACTGATCACACCAGGCTGCTCCGAAAAGGTGATAAACTTGGTTTCGAACATGTTTCATACTCCCTACATGTGTCATTCTCGGAGCTACGGTTGATATTGGAATACCGGGCCTTTGCAGCTACTGTACGATGTATGCTGTTCTGCTCCGTGTAGTCTTCCACCGCCAAGTCCACCCCGATGACCGGTGAGCTAGGATCTTGGCGTTACCCTGAACTGGCCTACCACCGGCTCCGCTCGGGGTCAATTAACCCGCTACATGACCCGTCGATTGAGATATTCATAGCGGTGGGCAGAGCCGATTGTGTTATCCCCGGGGCTGGCCTGCCGCGACCCTTCCTGCCACTACTGACAGAGTGAAACGAGGGTAGATCACCGAAGAATCGCGGTTAATAACTCGCTTGCAAGCGGAGAATTTAACCCTTTTCAGCCATATCCCCTCACATCTAGGTGCGCCTATAGGTGCCTTGGGCAGTCCCATATCGTCAGCTTCCTTGCTATAGGAATAAGATATCTTGGATGCCGGTTTTCTCTCGTCTGTGCTTCCACTAGGACAAAGACTCGCGTACATTGTGACTATTGTATCCTGATTAGGTGCTTTTCGCCGAATTTACTGACACCATGAATTTCGCGAGCAGCCATTTGATCCTCCTGGGTTCTCATCTGTGCGGAGCACCCTTCGGTTGGTATTTCGCGCTATACAGGGATGGTTCTAATTAGTGTGATAAAGGAATCAACTAGAGACCGATACTACGAAGCTGTTGGAACGAAATCGATGGGGCGCAAATCTGGATGGTCGGTTCAACAGCGTAGTATTATTACTTCCCCAGTGGTCACGCGGGAGGTGTTTCCCACAACCCCGGATTTGACCCCAGACTGGAGCCCTCCCACCTGCCGAGTACTTATAGCATGTGACGACCAGCTCTTGCATTCAAGCTCCGCATTCCGTTTTACAGCACTCACTGTTTGACTGTCCACACCACCACCAAACCAATGACGCCATGGCTCTGAATAAGGATCCGGAAGTCAATGAGGCTCCGGAAATCATCGAGGATGACAGCCCTAAGGAACATATGAATTATGAGCTCGTGGACAAAGAAGTGGCGCAATACGCGAATGAGACTATTGTTGAAGTCGATGAAGTGACCAACAAGCGCCTGAAGAGCATGATCGATAAGCGTGTTCTGGCTGTCATGGTCGTCACATACTTCATCCAGGCGCTCGACAAGGGCACAATGTCTTTTGCTTCTATCATGGGGATTATTGACGATGCTCACCTGGTCGGCCAGCAGGTAAGACTTTGTGGACACTGTTATCTTGTTGGTCTAATCGTATGAATAGTATTCTTGGTTGACTACCGTCATCTACCTCGTCATCCTGACCGTCGAATACCCGGAGAATTATATTATTCAGCGAGTGCCTATTGCGAAGTGGCTCGGTGCCAACATTTGCCTATGGGGCGTCACTCTTACATTGCATGCCGCAATGAAGAACTTCGCTGGGCTTATCACTCTAAGGGCTTTCCTTGGTGCCTTTGAAGCTTGCTGCCAGCCTACATTTGTTCTGCTATCGGGGATGTGGTACAAGCGAGAAGAACAGTCTGGAAGAGTCATATTCTGGTATATGATGAACGGAGCTCAACAGATCTGTGGCAGCCTTCTTGCCTTTGCTTTCTCACACATTTCCCACTCGGGGCCCGTTGTGTCTTGGCAGGCGCTGTTCATGACTTACGGTATTGTCACTGTCTTCTGGGGATTATTCGTAATTTGGTGGAGTAAGTATTTTCTCTGTTCCATCGTTGTGTTGACAGGTACATCTCGCGTGTGAAGCCTCTGTATCCGTCCCAAGTTCAAAATAGCACCATGCAGGCTTTCCCAACATCTCTCCCATGCGATTTGACTCTACTTAGATGGCAAATGCTGACTTTCGTTATTCTAGTGCCAGACAGCCCAATGAAAGCCCACTGCTGGAGTGAAGAGGATAAGAAACTCATGGTAGAACGTGTCCGACAGAATCGGACAGGTTTACAAAATCGCAAATTCCGCAAAGACCAGGTATGGGATGCGGTGACTGACCCCCAAGGTAAGGCGTGCTAGGATCGGATGTTCTTGGTCAGATATGGTTCAAAAGCTAATGTATCGATAGTTTACTGTTTCGCGTTGATCCAGCTATTCACAACTCTTCCATCGGGCGGCCTCGGAGCATTCGCCAACATTATAATCAAAAGTTTCGGATTTACAACCTGGCAAACTCAGCTTCTCCAGATGGTGTCCGGCGTTGTACAGATCATTGCCATGTTAACGGGTGTCTATGTTGACAGGAGATTCCATCAAACAATTTTGGCAATGATAGCAGCCGTCATTCCTACCATCGGAGGTACCGTCGTTCTGCTTGTAGTACCATTCGAGGCTCACAAACGCGTTGGACTACTATTGGCATACTACATAATGATCTCGTTCTGGGCGTGTGCTGGTCTCGCTCTTTCACTCGTCACACGCAATGTCGGAGGGCAGACTAAAAAGAGTGTTGTGATTGCCAGCAACTTCATTTTCTGGGCAACTGGCAATGCGATCGGGCCCCAGGTCTTTCGTTCTCAAGACGCGCCCCGTTACTTCCTTGCTATCGCGGTTATCTTGGCATGCTTCTGTCTTCTTGTAATCACGCTGCTTGCCATGCGCACGTACTACATCTGGCAGAACAAGAGGCGGGATGACAAGATCGCTAGGGGAGAGGCAGTTGCAGACACTGCTTTCACTCATTCCTTCGAGGACATCACCGACCGTGTAAGCTCGTCTCTCCGTCTCAAATGGCCAAACTAACATGCTCCAGCAAGATGTCAACTTCAGATATGTTTACTAAGCAGGTCCGAGGAAGCCTTTTGCACAAAGGACGCTTCCTGATATCTGCGCATTCTGATTGAAGGGAGGGGGTGTTAAATATATACAAGGAGGCAATATCATTTGGTAAATATTTAATATAGGATGAGGTAAATCCATAATCGGGCTTAAAGCTCATGACAGCAGTCTCTTTTCCGCAATGTTTCTTTGTCTGTCGCACGCAACTAAGGCCTTCATAACTTCCTAACTTCACGCCTCTTTCAAGTTGGCGACAGCCTCATATTTGTCTCTGACCATAAGTACATTGTAATTCAATTATTCGCTTGCACCTGACTCTCCAGCAGCCGCCAGGTAGTTCATATTGCGCTTTATGTCCCCTAACTTCTAATGATTTAGTAAAATTAGGGACTTCAGCAACAATGTCGCTGGTTGATGGCTCCAAGCGGGGAATATTGTGCACGGCCCCGTCATCCCCGCTTCTCCCCAGACAACGCGCGGCCAAATGGTGTAAATGCGATTTAGGTAATCTACCCCGAAGACCACCTGGGGAGATGAGTGGGGCCGCATCCTTTAGCAACAAAAAGTAGTGTGTGACTTGACCTCACGTACGTGTGCATCGCTAATCCTGTCGTCTCTGAGTGGGCCGTGGCTTGTTTGAATGCTCCGGCGAAGAATAGCAAATAAGATGGCTCCACTGTTCACCGCTTATCACTGGGATGAAGGAAAGTTTTCTGGCCGAAATCGCCCTCCGCTGCGCTGTCCTGCAATGGCTCTTCCTTCCGGTTCGTGTAAAGTTCGGGTTAATTCAACTTTGACGGCTAGGCATCCCCAACGTGTCCGAACAGACCCTAGTGGAGCCTTCTCCCGGTTCATATCGCCGCCCATTCTCCGAGTGAGCGCTGAATATTCAGGACAGGAAAATCGTTATGGAATTCAGTTACCAGAAGTTGATCCACCTCCTCTTCTCCTATAACGATGTGCTCCCACGAACATACTTCAAAGAATGGCGAGGTACACTCGTCATCGACGGAATTGTACCCCATCAGGGCACCTGGCCCGGTTGGCAAGCGTATCACACCAATCTACAAGAAGAGGCTCGTTAATTTCTTCACCGAGGGCCAATGGGATCGAGTCAATTTGATAGCGTGAGTTTGGCCCGTGAACCTCCACCACACTGTTGAATATTAGCTTATCTGAAAAGGCTTTCGAATGATGGGGTTTTCTCGACCGATTCTCATCTTCGGCTATTTGTATGGGATGCCCCAGGAACAGAGCGGCCGACATTTGATGCGGCAACTGCTCCATCTAACATCTATAGGGAAACCGCCGTTGGGCAGTCATTTGGTCCATCTTGGACAACTCACTGGTTCAAGGTCTGTCTTACGGTCCCTACGGAGTTGATCGGTGAGACACGACCGATAGAGCTGCATTGGGACTGCGGCAATGAGGCAACGGTTTGGACTGAGCGCGGTGAGCCACTTCAGGGACTGACGGGCCGCGGAGAAAGGGTTGAGTGGATCCTCCCGGAAACCTTTAAGGATGGCAATGAGCACATCATTTACATCGAGATGGCATGTAATGGCATGTTTGGAAACGGACCAGGTCGGCCAATCTTTAAAAACAACCCTGGAGGTGATTCTATTCAGCCCCCTGACGAAGGAAAGTACTTCACGCTGTCGAAAGCAGAGCTTGTTCTTCCCAACACGCAGGTGAGAATGTTGCGCGTCGACTTCCAGATCATTCACGATGCTGCCATGGAGTTCCCCGAGAACTCTTGGGAGCAACAAGAAGCACTCAATGTCGCCTCAAAAATTATCGATACATTCGACGTCCACGACAGGTCTTCTGTTGACCGATGCCGAAAAATAGCTGAAGAATACCTGGGGTGCAATATCAACTCTCCAAATGTCCATGCTGATTTCAAGGACAAAAAGCCAACTATCTTCGCCGTCGGTCATTGCCATATTGACACATGTTGGCTTTGGCCCTGGGCAGAGACAAAACGGAAAGTTGTTCGTTCTTGGCTAAATCAATGCGATTTGATGGATCGTTATCCTGAATTGAATTTTGCATGCTCCCAAGCCCAACAGGTCAGTGTGCCCGGGATGACAGTGCCAAATAAACACGAGGATACAAATCTTGTTGTTTAATGAGATAAATTACCACCAACTTACAACCGAGTAGTTCAAATGGCTGAAAGAGGGGTACCCGTACGCCTGGGAGCGAGTCCGTTCCAAGGTTAAGGCCGGTCAATTCCACCCTATCGGTGGCTGCTGGATAGAGCACGACACGAACCTACCGGGAGGCGAATCCCTTGTGCGACAATTCCTCTATGGTCAACGGTTCTTTGAGAGCAGCTTTGGCTTTCGATCAACAACATGCTGGCTACCAGATACCTTCGGGTTTTCAAGTCAGCTGCCACAATTATGTAGATTAGCAGGCATGAACAGATTCTTGACTCAAAAACCATGCTTCAACAGCGTAAATGACTTCCCACACACGACATTCAATTGGTAGGCTCCACGCTACGACAGTGAGCTCATTCAGCTAACCACGGTATTTATTAGGGTGTCACTAGATGGAAGTCAAGTTATCTGCCATATGCCTCCAGCAAAGACGTATTGCGCTGAGGCGAGCTTCGAGAATATTCGCAACAGCATTTCAAATCACAGATCACTAGATCAAGATAATACAGCTCTTCTTGCGGTATGTGGCCCCTGAAAACGGCAACTTAGTACCCACAGTCTCCGGGTATTAAGGGTTTCTTGTCCAAGAGATCTATACTGATAGCAAATGTTTACACAGTTTGGAAAGGGAGATGGCGGTGGAGGGCCAACTTGGCAACATTTGGAACGCCTCCGACGTCTTCGGGGGTTATCCGATACAACAGGCTTATTACCACGCGTACACTCCGGGAACAGTGTCGACGACTTCTTCGATCGTATAGAGAAGAAGTCAAAGAGTCTTGCCACATGGCATGGTGAGCTTTACTTCGAGCTCCACCGTGGCGTATATACAACGCAAGCCAAGACTAAGCTAAATAATCGACGATCGGAATTTCTTTTGAGAGACATCGAACTGCTTAGTACAATTGCATCGATCCATGATAAGAATTATGGATATCCCAAGAAGGAGATTGACGATATGTGGGAGAGTGTTCTGCTCTGTCAGTTTCATGACTGCCTCCCTGGGACTGCAATCAAGATGTGCTACGACGACTCGGACAAGGTAAACACCCTTGAAGCACCTTCATCTTTGGAGAATTGCACCTAACTAGAGTAATAGATCTACTCAAAGGTGGAAAGCGTTGGTTATAACCTGCTACAGCAAGTCTATTCAATTTTAGGAATCAGCGAATGGACGACAAGAACCATCAAGCTGAATAGCTCCGCGGCGTTGAATACACTACCATGGCCACGCCAAGAGATCATCGAGGTTGCAGACCATGGGGCAGTGGTTGCATCCGGAGATGGCATCCTTCTTCGACTAAATAGTTTCGAAACTTTGCAGAATCAGAGAGCTGTCTCCGCTCAGGAAATCTCTGCAGGTATATTCCGATTAGAAAACAGTCATTTGACTGTCATAGTAGAGAAAGGGACCATCAGCTCTCTTTACGACAAAAGAGCGAAGAGAGAGATTCTTTCTGGAAAAGCGAATCAGTTTGCTATTTTTGATGACAAGCCTATCTATTGGCAAGCTTGGGATGTGGAGGTTTACCATTTGGAAACTCGGCAAGAGTTGAATGGTTCAACTACATCTATACTCGAGGATAAGCCGCATCGTGTCAGTGTGATAACGGAAGTCAAAATCAGCGAGCTCAGCACGATGCGCATAACAATTTCGCTTGTTGCAGGCCTTGATGAAGATGAACAATCTTTCGTTGAGTGCACTGCAGATATCGACTGGCATGAGACGATGAAATTCCTCAAAGTCGAATTCCCTGTAGATATACACAACACCGAAGCATCCTACGAAACGCAATATGGGGTTATTAAAAGACCAACTCACTACAACACCTCGTAAGTCACCTTGACGTCAATCTAATATAGTTGTGCAGATACTGAATGTCGGTAGTTGGGATATGGCAAAGTTTGAGGTATGCTGCCACAAGTTTGCCGACTTGTCAGAACATAATTATGGTGTTTCAATCCTCAATGATAGTAAATACGGCTTTGCGACAGTGGGAAATGTGATGCGTCTCTCCCTCCTTCGATCGCCCAAAGCCCCAGACGATACAGCAGACATGGGAAAACATCGTATTCGCTGGGCCATCTTACCTCATCGAGGAGCTTTGGGTGCAAAAACAGTCCGCGCTGCTTTCAATTTTAACAACCCTCTCAAGCTTGTATCCTTGACAGGAAGAGGTGAAACGTCGACTCCAAACCCAATTTATCTTCGTGGAGACGATAATCTTGTTCTTGATGTTATCAAACGAGGTGAAGATGACGAAGATCTCAGTCGCGGTGACTTACCTAGAAGGGCAGGGCGGAGCATTATTATCAGGATATACGATGCCCTCGGAGGCCGAGGGAGAGGTGTCGTTGAAACTTCTTGGTCAGTCAAGAAAGTGTTTCAGACAAATCTGCTCGAGGATGACGGTGTCGAAATTGCATGTAATGATGGGAAGTTTAATGTAGATCTGCGCCCGTTTCAACTTGCCACATATCGGCTCGTTCTTGCATGAATAACAGGGAAATACGCGTCTTGGAATATGGGAGTGTGGTTTAGTAAGAGATGGTCCCATTATAGTCGCAATGACTCGAAATCGATCGGTCAGTTCGGGTGGATACACATTTTATTCTTCACCAATTTTCACTCCGCGCCACAATCGTTTTAGAACAGATCACGATAATGATATAGATTACTCCGAAATTGTGCTTTCATTAGCAGTGCAATTGAATATAGAGATATCCTGTTGCCCAAATATCAAGCTGTTCAGACGAAACTGTGTGTGTTGTGCGAACAATGTCACCAGGTAGTCTTTTGCGTGTGGTGATGTCCAGTCGTACCCTGTGTTTCAATAGGTTTGATTAACATTGAGATGGGAGCTTTAAAGTAGTCGTGCTTTCAGTCTCTGTCGCAGGTTCATATGTCTGGCATGTAGTAAAGTTGTGTACTGCTGTGCCTTGAGTCACTAAGAGTATCGGGCCACTCTGTCACGACTCTTTGATTGAATTACGATTCAACATCGGGGACAGAACACTAATCATTGTTTAGAAGAGTCTATAAAGTGAGAAGAGACAATGATATTAAGTCTATTGAGTTTATTGTGAATATCATTGCGCTGGATTAAAGAAACCAGAACCCATCATCATCAAATAAATGTCTAGACACTCTTTAGACAAATGGCATCAAACTAATATATAGGGAGCTGTCATCTTTATCTAGTTCTTGTCATCTACTTTCTGGTCTGCTAAGCGTTTCCACACATACTCCCCAGCTTGTACTGGCTCGTAACGAGGCCCCTTCCCATCTGAATTGCACGTTTTGAAAGGCAAAGGTGCTATAACAGCGTCATAACTAGGACCAAAGAAGAAAGGAATTGTGTAACGTTCCCTTCCAGTCTTGTTGATGACTCGGTGAAGAGTAGACGTAAAGACGTCATTTGACCAGCGTGACATCATGTCACCTATGTTGACGACGAAAGTCCCCTTGATGGGTGGCGCCTCGATCCATTCTCCTTTGCCGTTGAGAATCTGCAGTCCAGCCTCCTCTCCTTGGCACAAGATCGTGAAGCATTCAATGTCTTGGTGCGGACTAATACCAAGAACGTTGACGTCATCAGGCTGCTGAGGGGGATAATGAATAAGACGCATCATTGCACCCGGTCTGCGAAACATCTCATCAAAGTAGTTCTCGGGAGCGCCTAATGCGCTTGCGAATAGACGAATGAGACGCCGGCCAAGAGTGAGACACTCGGCATAGTAGGGTGACACCCTTTCCTTAAAACCAGGCATACTAGGCCAGTAGTTTGGACCTTGCATCAGATTGTCTCCCCATGCTAGAACATAGTTAGAACAAGCGTAAAAAAAAAAAGTAAAAAAAAAGAAAAAAGAATTTGGTGTCGAATTTACCTTCGCCTATACTGTCGAGAGACTTTACAGGGTCTAAGTCAGCCTCGTAACCCCAGTTGAAGGATTCGTTCAGATCCGGTCTGTGTGTCGATGCCGAGTCGGCCTTAGTATCGCCGGGACCCTCATAACCGCGGAGCAACTTGTTCTTTCGGAAATGTGTCTCGTTCTTTTGATCAATTGGTAGTGCGAAGAACATTTTCCCAGCATCGAAGGTCTTATCAATCACGTCTTGCGGCACATCATGATCCTTGATATAGAAGAATCCAACTCGAGTGCATGCGTCAAAGACTTGTACAACAACCTCTTCACGAGGTGACGCGAGCGAGATAATCGGAATCTCGTTAAAGTCTGCCTTTCGAGACTTGTCGGACAGCACAATTCGTGCATTTCCCGAGAACGAGGTGTGAGTCGTCGGCGTCTCGACAGTGTGTGGCATCTTGAATCGGTGAGCCGTGAATGTCTGACGATATGTGATGTAGAGGTCTAGAGTGATTGCCGGCTACTGAGTTTAGAGAGGACAACTATTCAGTACACTTTGATTTAATTTTGAGTTACATGTATGTGTTAGATATAGTATTAGAAGTCTGAGACTTTGTTATTCACGAACAAGGATCAACTACGCGGTGTTCATGTAAGACGCGTGACTCAAATCAAGAGGAGTTTTGCACCGACGTGGAGCAGCTCACATCGTGTTCTGAGTTTTACCAAGGATTTTGAAGCCAAGTTGGCATGTCTAATTTTTACCAAGGATCATGGAATGCAGCCCAACACTGAAACACTCAATTGACTAACGCCATATGCGGAGCTCTACCGGGGCTTGTGGAGATCATGAACGCTAGGCAATCCTTATCTCTGAGTTTTACCAGGGATCATGGACGCTAGTCATCCCTTATCTCTGTGTAAGGCCTGTCCGATCTGGCCGTTGTGGAGAATCGCCAACGCGTTCTCTTTAAGTACCAATTATAAGCCTCAAGGATCAATCCACCCGTAGGATTCATGAACACTTCCAGTATAGTCTTGCTGTTTCGTACGGATTATAGGTCGCTGCCTTATCTCTGAGTTTTACCAGGGATTATAGACGCTAAGCGCTTGCCTTTGAACTTCGTTACCGGTATTGTGGATGTGAAGTGGGTAGTATACTCATGAGTTGACGAAACCACCTCGAATTTAGGAGTTCGAAGCATAACCATGTAATCTACAACTAGAGCTAGATAGCCTATCCAACAATTATTCGACCGGAGTTCCATCGGGCGGAATGATAGGAATCTGCCGATCGTAGTGTATGGGTTCAGGCGTCCTCCGAAGTCCTAGGCTATCTTTCCGATGGTGTTATTAACGGCATGGTCCTTATTACCCCGACTAACCACAAAATCTCGCCCATCCACCGTTATAGTCGTCTCGAATATCTTGTAAAGGGAAGGGCAAGAGTATTTTCCTCAGAAAAGTTGCAAACGACGCCGAGATGCAACAAGACGCTTCTACGGCTGCCTCAGCTTACGAGAAGACCCCATCCGTTGAAGCCTTGAAGAAGCCCCTTAATCATGACAACACTACTGAGTCACCATCCATCCACGAAGCTCATGGTGCCGATGGGTCAGCCGCCGGTGGTATATTCGATAAGCTGCTCGCGATGGAAGCCGCCCTAGACCGTAAGCTTGGCATCGAGTCTCACGCCATCGAACGTATCCGTGCCGAAGAGAAGGTGCCTCAGTCATGGCATCAGCAGGCAGCCATGTTCCTTCTCTGGGCGGGAGGTCTCCTTAATATCTCGACCCTCTCTACCGGCATCCTGGGTGCACAGCTCGGCTTCGACTTCAGTCGCAGTGTAGCTATCACTGTGTTCGGCAACCTGCTTGGAGCCGCCGTTACTGGGTGGTGTGCGACACTTGGTCCTGGCACCGGTTTACGGCAAATTTCCATCTCACGATACAGTTTCGGGTGGTATCCATCCAAAATTGCCGCCGCTCTGAATGTCATTACTCAGGTTGGCTTCTCCTCTCTTGCTTGCATCACAGCTGGCTCGGCCATCTCTGCTGTCTCGGATGGCAGAGTCAACAAAGCTGTGGGCATAATCATCATTGCCGTAGGCAGTACCGTGGTCAACTTCTGCGGTCTCAAAGCAGTTCTTCTCTACGAGAAGTATGCCTGGATCGTCTTCTTCATCCTCTTCCTCGTAATGTATGGAGAGATTGCACCCCGGGCGGAGATCAAGGCCGAGAGTGGGCTCGGCGGCGTCGATATGAGCGGCAGCGCTCTCTCTCTGCTTGCTGTTATGTATGGCTTCAGTGTCTCTTGGTGCACGCTGGCGGCCGACTATTATGTGCACTACCCTATCAACACTTCTCGAGTCGAGGTCTTCTTTCTCTGCACCATGGGCATTACGGTCTCGACCTGTGTCAACATGCTACTTGGCTGCTGTATCGGAACCTTGATTAGAGCTGACCAGACGTTGTCTGACGTCTATGAGAACGAGGGCATTGGCTTCTTGTTGCAGAAGCTGTTATATCCCCGTGGCTACGCCAAGTTCACGCTGGTAGTCTTGTCGCTTGCTGGGATAGGACAGAACAGCATCAACTTATACTCTTGTGCTCTCTCGATCCAGCAATTTGCCCGTCCATTCGCTCGTATACCTCGTTTCATGTGGTCTATCGCGCTTTTTGGTGTTGTCGTCGGGCTTGCTATCGGAGCTGGAAACTCGCTCAGCACCTACCTCTTGAATTTCTTGTCCCTGTTAGGCTACTGGATGACTTCCTTCTTCGTGCTTATTTTCGTCGAGCACTATGTTTTCCGCAAGGGCTCGTTAGATAATTACGACCTTGATGGATGGAGTGACCCAAAGCGTCTTCCTCTAGGCATTGCCGGATGTGTCGCTTTTCTCATTGGTGTGGCTGGTTGGGTTCTTGGTATGGTCCAGACATGGTATGTGGGTCCACTTGGTGGCCTTATTGGGGGTAGCGGTGGTGATATTGCAAACGAGCTCACGTTGGTGTTTACGTTAATTACATTCATTCCATTGAGGTATGTAGAGCTAAAGTATGTTGGACGTTAGACAAGAGTGGAAGAAAGAGTTTGTAAAGTATTTCAGGCTGGGGTGTCACAGACAGAAACCTAACCACCCTTCAGACATGATGGAAAATCCAGTCGCACGCAGGGCATGCGAATTCTAGTTACGTGTAAATAAGATAAGGATCACCTTGCAAAGCGGTGATCTATTAAATTACATCACAATAAGCCAGGAGTAAACCCTAGACAGATTACTCTCGATTAGAGTGACCCACCATTCGCTTAGATACTCTGTTCTCGAGGCCAATGTTGCATCGTATTGGTGTTTATTAGGGATTATAGGTAGCTGCCTTACCATTGAGTTTTACTAGAGATTATAGACACTAAGCACTTGCCTGTGAATTTCGTTGCTCTGAAACATTATCTTTATCTTTACTATATTTTACCACTTTTGTATTCAAACAACTTATACTTGACAACTCTTTAAGACGTATTCGGCACTGATCAAAGTTTCGTAAATGTCTATAATATTGGCAATCATAACGTTAGAAACTATCTTATGAAGAAGATATAAGATAACATAGTCATTATGCTATAATTGCCATCATAACTAGTAAAATTGACACTAGGACGCTAGATATCAGCAGTGTTAAACTTATCTAAGGAGGTGGTGTTACCGTCCGTTTCTATTAAATAGGAGCATATCAAGACGACGCGATGTATCTATGTACTTCTAGTGATAGTTGCCCATTCGGGTCCTGCCAGGGGTCGTGTGTATGTTTACGTACATCAACAGAACAGAACATCAAGAAACCACTTAAGGAACATATGTCTTAGTATCATCCAGTCTGTTCGAACTCCGGGTTCACCCAATTTATGGATCCCGCCTTCTCCCGTATGACCTTACCAAACCTGTGGATCACTGCTAATACTGGAATGCAGAAGAAGACAGTGATGATAGCATGTCCAACAAAAGTCCAGGTGAATCCGGCACTGTCAACCCACGGCACGATGAAGAAGGGGTCTACAAATGCCGAAAGATTCAGCATCACCGCGTAAAAGGTCATGGTCGCCATGCTTTGCATCGGGTAAGCATCGACTACATAGGAGCAGACTGCAGTATTCCCCATCTGAATACCGGCACCAACTTGTGAAGAAACTCAGCTTTGGATAGGACGAAGGTCAGGGGGAAGAGCTTACAAAGAGCAAGGGCCACCTGGCCGACTATCCAGTGGTAACCGTGATCAACGCTAATACCCCAGACAATCAGACCGATGGCGGTCAGAATAACGGCAGGATAGGCCAGCCAGAGGCGCATCTCCGGCGCTTTCTGGTTGTGGCTACGTTTGGCAAGTTTGATTACGATCCAATCACTTAGGCTTCCTGAGCACAAGACCTCAGAGACAAAGGTGCCGACGATGAGGCCAAGGTATAGAAGTCTTTTGCAGAGTTAGCTAGCGAAGTAATCAACAGAGATATGAAAACACAAACCCTTGAATGTGTGTTGGATAGGTCGAGTATGCGGTAGGTACCAGAGTGACCACCGAAAGCACCCACCAGTACCAGCCGAAGCAATAAGTCATGATGGAAACGGATACAACAATGTACCTGAACGTCTTGAAGAATCGGATGATGGTGTCGTATGGCTTCGGGTGCTTGATCCCTGGGAGCGGGGCCACATTCGCAAATGGCAAGTTCTTGGTTCTCCGCACAGTGATGTGTGTTTGCGGTTGAGATGGATCCGCGGTTGAAGGCTTTTCGTTGCCTGTCTTCGTAAGCCGTCCGCTACTATGCATTACTGCTAGCATGAGGTGACGTGGATAGAGAGTTTCGGGGAGAAATATGACTTCGGCGAGAAGAATCACGCCGAATAAGATAACAGAGAGCCATTGAATCCACTGGTAGCCGGCAATATTGACGAAACCGCCAATCAATGGGCCGAACAAGAGGCCTTGATCGATGGCCAGTACCCAGAGTCCCAGCTTCTGGCCGCGTTCATGCTCGAAAAAGATGTCGTTGATGATGGCCAAACCAACGTTGGATGCAGGGCTGACACCCAACCCTTGGAAGAATCGCGCAGCCATGTAACCGGAATAGTTCGGGGCTAGGGCGGCTCCAATTGTCGAAGCCAAAGCCATGATTGTGCCGAGGATGAGAATAGGTCGCCGACCGATGATGTCTGCCAGGGACGCCCACAGCAAGGGTCCGACAGAAAGGCCGAGCGCAGGAATAGCTACGGTCCAGTTTACTTGCTCCGCATTGATAGAATACTTCTCCTGGAGCGTCGGGAAGGATGGGACCGTGGTCGTTGTGATGTACGTGAACATGAAGTACCTGATGTCCCCGATGCGTTATTATTTACTCCCCTCAACGCTGAAGGAACGAAGCCTTTAGTTAACTTACAGAGACATAACAATCGCCAGGATTGTGTGTTTCCTGAAAAAGGACCAATTCAAAGGGTCGAGTTCATCGCCAAGGATGGGTTGCGGGAACAGCCTGAAGCCATCCTTGCTCAACAGAACTTCGTCTGCTTCTGGTGCAATCGACTCTGGCAACGTTGCCACGCCCGAAGGCTCGTCTGTTTTTTCAGCATTGGCCATGTCCTCAATAACAACCAGCCTTTGCTGGAGTTGACAGTGTTAATGGATCGAACTGCTTGGCTGATAGTTTGGCCTACCGGATTACGTTTACTTATACATATAATATCATGATGCTTGATATGAACGCGGACATCTAATTAGTATGACTACTTGCAACTACAAAACAGCACTAACACGCTTATCAGGGGTGATGGCTTGTGGCGCTGGCTTTCTTATCTCCGTCGTTTCCACGTTAGCGTTCGGCCGCCAATCTTGCCCGAAAAGGAACAATACGCGCCTTATCTGTACAGTACGTCTTTGAGAAGACGCTTTTTACTTACAAGCTGAGATCCTTTAGTCACTGCCAAGTATTTCGGAACTAGAGGATCATACGGCCTGAGTTCTGTTTCTTGATAAGCGTTTGAATTGAGGAACGACAATGTCTGTCGCAATTTGAACCAACTAACACTCAACCCGCTAACACTATTGGCATGGCATGATTCTGGGCAATGCCTCCCCACGCTTGGCTTGTTGATTGTGATTCACATAAATTTCTTGGGTGGCCTGTATGGTGGTATCGCACGTACCAGGGAAGGCAGTAGTAGGGTTTCCTGGCCAGATCAATCTGCTTTCCCGCGGCGCCATGGAATTGAATTGACGCGCATGTATCCTGCATTGCCCTACTGAGTTCACGGCACACAGCACAACTGGGTTGCAATCATTTTGCACAATGCAAGGTCTTCTATTCTATCCTCAGCGGTCATACGTAACTTTTCGCGTGAGTAATCTATCTAATGGAAGACGGCAGCATTCTGTTCTTCGTTGTCCTCGTCCAGCCTATTAGCGGCTTTTTGCACCTCGTTATCCCAGTCACTCAGACCGACGATAACCCATTCAAGTACGCCTACGAGTGAGAGAGCTACGCATTGCCCCATCCAGAGACCAGACAAACCCCACCCATGAAAAGCGAGGTAGATGCCAGCGGGAAGAGCTCCTCCATAGTAGCTTATACAGTTGACGAGTGCGCCAACCCACTGGCGTCCCATTCCCCTCAGCGCTCCGCCGCAGCTTCCGTTCAGTCCGTCTGCAATCTGGAATAAGGCTACGTAGGGAATGACTTCGGCAACAAGGGCGATGACTTGCTTATCACCATTGAAGAGGCTTCCGATGTTGTTTCTCGTTGCCAACAGAATCGTGAGGATAATCGAGCCAAAGAAGATGGAGAGGATAGCGGCACAATGGGCGGAGCGCCGAGCGCCCTTAGAGCTTTTTGCCCCGAGCATGTTGCCTAACCGCGCCGACTCTGCAACACCGAGACCGAAAGGAATAGTATTGATAATCTGATCAGCGGTCATGATAACAGACTGAGCCGCAAGAGGAAGTGTTCCAAGCCGGCCTGCAGCAAGAGCGACAATCTCAAATGCCCACCATTCAGTGCCGACATGAATCACCCCTAAAAAAGCGAGCTTAGCAAAACTCCAGGGGTTTGAAAGGGCTCGTCTCAGCTGTAGTCCGCTCCAGCATTCTTTTCCTTGAATGAAGGCAGCATAGGCAGCGAGAAGCAGGAAGGAAAGCCAGTAGGAGATGCCGGTGGCCACAGGAGCGCCATATAAGCCGAAATCAAAAGTGTAAACGAAGAGATAGTTGAGACCAGCATTGAGTGGTGATGTGATCATGAGGGCGTATGTTCCCGGTCGGTATATGCCCTGGGCCTGCAGGAACTTCTTCATACATTCGAACCAGACGTAGCCGAGACCGCCAGGGGCGAGTAGTTGGAGAAATCTGGAACTGTGGATGCAAATGGCTTCGGGTTGGCCCAGCGCTCTGAATAGAGGCTCAGATAAAACCCAGATGACTATAACGACGGCATAGAAGGCCGTCAGCACAATGATTCCTCGCTGTAGGAGTACTCCTAGATTTCCTTTGTCTTTTGACGCAGTGAAGCTGCTCGAAGCCAATGTGTCCAGGGCACTTGTACCTCCCAGAGCAATCAGCCATGCGGTCGCCATAGCGAACATGTACGAGAACGCGGCGACCGCCAAAGCTTCCGAGGAAAGCCTTCCCACGACAAGGACGGAGACCGTCTGTAGACTATTTTGAAGTATATAGGCTAGGATAACGGGAATCGAAGCCTTGGTCAGAAACCACATCTCAGCGAACCATTCGATGTGTTCTAATCGGGTAGCCGTTCGACGAGTCGGACGGGAGGGGAGTAGAGGCGCATTTTCATCAGCAAACTGTTCCATATCTGGATGGAGGCTACCCTCTGGACCTCGTGAATTGTTCATTTCTTCTCACAAGAGTCGATATGTTTGTTGCAAAAGGGACCAGGTTTAACAGATTCGAGAATCTCGGCAGGTCTTTCAACACGAGATCAAAACAAACCTCAAGCCGGACTTTCACCGGGTTATACCAAGTGCGTAATGTAGTATCGCGATGCTTGACAAATCTGTAGTTGTCATGCAGATTTCTCGCCCAACGTTCACGTCTTATCGACAATTTGGTGTCCTAAAGAGCGATTATAGCCACTTGCCGGGATATCACCAATGATTACCAGCCAATTATGCTCCCACCAAATGTGGAACGTCGCGGCGCCATGATAGGTCAGCGATATCCCAGCACTGCTTAACCGTTTACGGTAATGTAGCCACGATAAGATGCGAACAAAGGCCCGGAAATGTGGGACTTTTGACTAGGCTTACTTTGGTGAAATAGCCACCTTGAAAGATGACTGACGATGTCATGCAGCACTTCGATCACCATCCGAGCTTTGAGGGTTTGAAGCACAAGATTCGGATGGGTCCAGGTACGGCGCCATAGTCGTGGGCTAGAGATAAGTCATATAAATTTGGTTCGCTGTTTGAATTGCAATGTTCGAAATCTTCTCCTTTCTATCACCACTGTCACAAGCAAAACTTAGAAGATGCATTCAACACTCTTGGCACTGGGTTGGGCAACCTTGGCCCTCGCCCACACCGGGCACGAGCAGAAGACCATCGCAGGAGCTCACCAGTCTCTGTGGTACAACACACTGCCCGGAGATGGCGGCACACAGGTATGTGCTTCTGTAGTCCTTCAGAAGATCCGCCCCATATGAAACTACGACTGACATCCTGACACAGGCGGACTCGGTCTTTTCCGGTATCTCGACCTTCGGTCGTCTGCCTTACCAGCCCTGTCTCCAGAACCGCGAAGCTAAGTACGACATTGCTTTCATTGGTAAGATCATTCTACCAAGCATTTGTTTGTTGTAGCTAATGTATGGCAAGGTGCGCCCTTCGATACCGGCACGTCCTATCGTCCAGGTGCTCGCTTCGGTCCATCTGGTATTCGACAAGGATCCCGCAGATTGAATCTTTAGTACGACTCTTACTACTCCTAGCCAAGATGTACGAACGTTAATCGCTATTTCAGTGGCGGATACAATGTTCCTCTCAAGACCAACCCCTTCAACAGCTGGGCTACCGTGCTCGACTGCGGAGACATCCCTGTTACATCGTAAGACCACATCCCGCCTCACACTCAAAAGATAGGCGTAAGAACTGACAATATTTGGAGATACGACAACTCCTGGGCTCTTCACCAGATCCAAGAGGGACACTTTGAGATTCTCTCGCGCAAGCCTGCCACTGATGGTGACAAGAGGGGCCCCGCCCTCAAGGGCAAGACCTTACCTCGAGTCATTACTCTCGGTGGCGACCACACTATTACTCTGCCCCTGCTCCGATCCATTAACCGCGCCTACGGTCCCGTCTCCGTGATTCACTTCGACAGCCATCTGGATACCTGTAAGATAGAGACTTCCAGCACTCTGTTCGTCGCAAGGCCTATGCTAACACCAGAACACAGGGAAGCCCAAGGTATTTGGCGGGTCTCCTACCGACATCGCCGCCATTAACCACGGCACCTACTTCTACCATGCCGCCCAGGAAGGCCTACTCGCTAACGACACCAACATCCACGCCGGTATCCGTACAACTCTCAGCGGACCTAGCGATTACGACAATGACGGCTACTGCGGCTTCGAGATTGTCGAGGCACGCGAGATCGACACCATTGGCACCGACGGTATCATCAAGAGAATCATCGACCGGATCGGCACTGAGAGACCCGTTTACCTGTCTATTGACATCGATACCCTGGACCCGGCCTTTGCCCCTGCGACGGGCACTCCCGAGACGGGAGGTTGGTCTACTAGGGAGCTTAGGACCATCATCCGCGGGTTGGAGGACTTGAACCTTATCGCGGCCGACATTGTCGAGGTTGCTGTATGTTTTCTTCCCCTTTCTAGCCGATCCCGCTGTTGGTGCTGACAATGATGCAAACAGCCCGCATATGATACAAATGCTGAGCACACCACCATGGCTGCTGCGGATGTGCTTTATGAGGTCATGAGTATCATGGTGAAGCATGGTCCCTTGAGCAAGATGGTCGGCAAGGAGATCGATGAATTGTAAAATGAGTGGCCTTCGACGGCTTACTCGAGACGGGAGGAAGGAGGGTTTGGTGCACAGCATGCCGGAGGCTTGTGCTTCACGAATCTATGTAGTTGTGGAGATAAATGGAAGTAAAAGACTCCATCCGTAACACCATAGCTTATTTTCAGGTATTATAATGAAAGGTCCTCTGCCAACTCCAGGCAACGAATACTCAATCAACCGATGCAAAGAAACATAATGACTAGTGCACAATCGATTCTAGGCTACGGGTTGTTCCAGTTCTGGTTCGCTGGCCGTAGAAGTTATCTAATCCTTGTTCAATAAAGGTGTAGGCTTCTCTGCCAAAGGCTAGAACAGGATGATATTGTATTGCACCTTTTCTGCATCGTGTGATAGTCAGTGTTGCCTCATAGGCAGAGTTGCTTCGTGGTGAAAGAAACGCACCTAGTAGCTGACTTGCACATAGATTACCGTCGAAGTCACCCAGGCTCGTTCTCACATTCCATATATCGTTCAAAGCCTGACGAATGGCCTTCACATGGAGTGACCGAATGCACTCCTCTAGTTTGTTGATTTTATCCAACGCAAAACTCTTCTGCTCATCTGTGAAAGCCTCGCAGCCAAGGGTGAACAGCGGCATTGCCATCGCGACCCAGGTGTGACAGGGCTCACCCTGGCTCATATTGCTGATCATCCCTTCCACAGCGCTGACGGCGTCTTGGATAGGTCGTGATCTGGAGGGGAGATGGTAAAGACGCCTGTATAAGTGGATCAAAGTCGCTTGCTGGAAGGTCTGATGGCAGAGCGTGAACTCGCGACCGTACTCAGGTGACAAAGGTGAGCAGTTTGATATTTCCGGTGTAGTTTTGGAGTCGCGGCTAACCATTGCTTTGAGTTTTCCGAGAAGAATATCAGCCTGAAAGGATGACTGTTCCGTGTTGATAAGGGCAGACCGTGACAGTTGGTCGATTTGCTGCAGGACGTCCAACAGCTCATCACTGTAACCCAGGAACCCATCTATTCTGGGCATCGGTGTTGAAACGAGCTTTAAGCTCGGTGCGTCTACTGTTGTTACCGGTGCCGGTAGTTTGGAGGGGACCAAGGCGGGAATGTGTGGCAACGTTTGCAGAGAGAGATACAATTGATACAGATGTCTGGTAGCCGACTGCAAAACACCCGATGAAGCGACAAAGTCGCGGTGAGCGTCATTCTCCTCGAGAAGAGCCTGGATCCCTTGTAGATGAATGCGCCAGGATGATGTGCCATGGCGATAGGTAAAGACGTCTGTCAGGCACCAAACAAGACATGTCACCAGTAATGTCTCATCTCTCCGGCTAGTCTCCAACGAAGTTCTCAGCAATGCAAGACCTGATGACTGTAGATGGCTCAGTATCCTTGCGACTTCCACTCCATCTACAGAGAGAACTCCACGAGACAAGAACCCGGCGGCTGACAATGCAAGACAGGCAGACATTAGCTGGGGCGACTCCAAAGTTACAGGGACCAACCCATGGCAAAGGTCCTTATGTATTGATGGGTGACAAGACAGGGAAGCGAGAATGTCTTCCATGAAGTGACTCAGTAGCTTTTGGTACCTTGATGGCAACGGTATGCCATTTGGGAGTGACTGGGGGAGGCCCACCGGCGGCTCAGCTGGCTCCACTGGTAATGTGCTATTGCACTGCACCAGAACGCCTCCGTTGGAGTCTTATAGAAGTCAATTTAATCATCAATGTGCCAATGGCATTGCGGGTACTATACCTGTCGGACCTGTCGTGTCATCGCTGCGGCTTGCACGAGGGGAAGTTTTACCGATAGCAGATCTCTTATACTTGCGATCAACGCCCCAAACAAGTCTCAATGGGTAGTTACATCCTCTGTTGAAGGCAGAACAGGGCCCGCAGCGTGGCTTCTGCTCATCACACTTTCGCCTCCGCCTTCGGCACTCTTCACATCCTTGGCGAGATCGTATACCAGGCATAAGGCGTAGCGGTAGCGACCGTGATTATTGCCCAAGGTAAACCAACATGATGGGATCGAATTGGCTTCACATACGAGTGAACTTTGCCGAACAGCTCAATTGAAATTATGCAGTTCCTACTATAGTGATGCTCATCGGCAGACTGCTCAGAGTGAGATGGGGAGAGACAAAGCCCTAGGTGAGTTATTGATAAGGTTTACCAAATGCTATTTTTAATTGGAAGATAAGATAAGTAGTCGAAGATGCTCACAAAAAACTGGATCTTCTGCTTGGCAAACAGTTTGGTCTACCGCGAAGTGACCTGACTAAGCCGCGCGATTCACCCATATTATGAGAGGTGGAATGATTTCAGGGCCTGGAAAGCAGAGAGGTAAGAAGTAGAGGAAGTTAAAGCCTTTTGAAGTAGAAGGAAGTCCCTGCGGGTCGCGATAACCCACTTCTTGGCAGTCCATCCGCGCCTCAAGTTCGGCCTGCAAGTGCCCAGCAAAGCCAAGTCAGTGTTACAAACAACCTGTGTTACACACAAGATCGCAATCTTGGGAGAATCCGGGCAAGAATTCGGTCTAACAGCTCACGAGTCTTTTCCGCTACATCAGTATGCGCTTTTGAAGTCGGCGCAACGGAAACCCAGCCATCAATGCGGAGGAGCATGAACAAAGCTCTATAAAGATTCGAATGCTTTGTTATTGGCCTATTTTGATTTACTTGACTCAAAAAGCTATCCACGGTATGAATGGGCCATATTGCCCTATGTTCTGTGAAGTATAGATCAAGAGTGTGGGGTTTCAACAGACATAGGGTTCAAGAAACACCAAGTTTAGACATTGGCTAAAAGAGGCAGCAGGTTTAGTCTGCTAACACTGAGATTAAGTATGAGGTCACAGGATATGAATGACCCTACGTCTAGAGGGAGAATAAAGTAAATCCGCTGCCATACCAGTGTACGTATGCAGGTTTGACGGGGCAAATTTAGTCTGGAACAGTCTGTAGCATGGGATAGTCTGAAGAGCAAGGAAGACAACGTCAATTCAACTACCCCACTGGGACAGCCCTTGTCCCACAACTTGATGACCAAATCGGCTACTTCCCATTGCATGCGCTTATTGCTAGTGTGTTGCCAGTATACATACAAAAATACTGAGATGTTAAGACCGGATTTAAGAGGCGAAGCATCCCTCCGTCGACATAACATGAAATTTATGGGGGTCTAGCAAGCTTTCGGTCCTTAACTTCATAGCAAGGCTGGTTCTTTTACTTTTATGGATGGGAAAATGGCGCGAGCTGAAGGTTGCCGCCTCCTCATTCTTAAGGGTATAACATCAAACTCGGATTAACGACTCCATTGAAACTCATGTTGTCTATTTAGATGAATATTAGAGGCCATGATCTTCTCACTCAGTCGGCCTCAGATATTTCAATTCACTTGGGCAGGCGGAACGACTGGTATTTTGTTTCCAGCCGACAATTTACTACAATTTTCTCCGCTGCTACAATTGATGTTGCCTAGACTGCGGTCTACGATTCTGACCTCAGGACTCGTAGCTAGCAACAAGAGAGTATAGACTTTGAGCTTTATAGTCGGCCATGGATAGAAGGGTCGAATATAAATAGTTAGAATTTGTAGTGCAATTCTGCTGACTAGCTGTATGAAGACAACCAATAGTCTATAAACACACAAAGAGTAAGCCTTAAACGCCATTTCAACTGACATATGGGTATAAAGAAATGTACCGCGCATAATCAGATAGCAATATACTCTGATAATGTAACGAACTAGGCTAGAAGATATTGAACATAAGCAATGAATCCTATCCTGGTCCCAAACAGATACCCCATTACCCGACTCTATATCTAATTCGTAAACTAGGGTAGTTGAAGGTAATATCACAACACAATTTAGCACGATTGGTATAATTTCCGAGCAAGTCATGATTTTCCCAAACTCCTAGATCCCACATACATTGTCAAGACAAAATTTTGACACCGTTGATTTTATAATGTTGAGACTGCCATGGTGACCAGAGTTCCTAGGTCATCCATCTCTAAGAACCATTCGCTTAGATACTCTGTTCTTGAGGCCAATGTTGTATCATTCTGGTCCAAATTGTCTAACAACAAATCTCGATACGTCGGAATGATTTTGGTGTTTTGATTCGTGGTGTTGCGTCTCATGTATTGCCTGCGATATTCAAGTTCCCATGCTCGTTCATCCGATGCTTGCCATAATGATTTACTGCAAGGCAAAGCTAACTCCATAAACCCACCACATTGTTTGAAGCCTGGCCCGTGTTCGATTTCGAAGATGTGAATGATCATCATGAGGATTATAGCTGTCCTGGCAGATGTCAGCAAAAGAACGCTCAGCTCAGCGTGAGAAATGATGGGTTTAGAAAATAAATACCGCCGTCGAGACTCAGCTAATACCCAATCATCCCAGGCTGGGATTTCTTCTTGTTGAAGCTCTCCATTGCACAACCACCCAGCATTGCGATACTTGTCCGCGATTTTCTATGCTGTTAGTACTTTATGAGCAGTTTATTTATTCTTCGAGGAGTTATACAACTAATCTTGGCTATGCTTAGTATAGTCGTTAGAATGTGCCTTTCAGTAATGAACCCACTGTTATCACCCAGTAGACCTAGGATGATGTACATAGTCATGGCTTGGATTGAGGCAAGTGTGTCCCAAGCATCGTAAGAGAGGTACTGCATCTATCAGACTGGAGTCGCGGAAACACCATAGTCTACTAACTTCGTTTTCAATTCGCCATGATTCCGCTTGAATAGTCCTCCAAATAAAAGCAATATTCCCTGAGGATCTGGTCATGTACATCTGCATGATGCCACTGCAGATCGCCAACGGCTCCGGTAACGTTGCTTCTTGATTTGTAGAATGATGGATTGCCGCTTTCCAAGGAGACGTTCGAGATTTGGCATGGATGAAAGGCGGCAGTGTACCGTTATTGCTACAGAGCATGCCTGGGTAGGATCTTAAAGTGCTCATGCAATAAGCACGACTAACGGCTGACCCATGAGGA